GAACGGGGCTCGTGATTGGCTGGTCTAGTCCAATATTATTGACATGTGTCAATCAAAGGTATTTTAATACGGAAGGACAAAGATTTTATTGGTAAATTTACGACAGCCGATCACAGCATGACATCTCAGTGTGCTCGTGGGCGGTTTTCAAAATCCAGGGGTTTGTCTGCAAGCGTTTCCTTCCTTCCTTCCCCTCCCCGTCCCCCTCCCCCCTCTTTCACCTGCTCCATTTTTCGCGCTGTAATTCTTTGCTCCCGAACCCCACAGAAACGCTTGCTATGCAGGCTATCGTAGTCTACACAGGGGAGCTCTTCACTGGCATGGATTTTGACACTATGATATATCTGTCTGTGTAAAACCTCGGTTGTTCATGAAAAATGTTGATTTTGGCAATAGACAGAGGTTGAAAGTCAGCTAGTTAAATCATTTAAGGTATATTTAGATATGAAAGTGATGGTGTTGAACGCACCCATGATCTTTGATTACTACTAGTTAAAAAGAGTATCTTACTTGCTTATTTTTGTGATTTGGGAAAACAAAAATTTTATATCCATGATCCTCTATTTTTCCCGTTTCTGAACTGTGCCAGAGACCCCCCCTGTACAACCCTCTTATAAGAATCCCTTTCTGTTTTATACAGTGTACTGAATATTTATTCAGATATATTTAGTGACCTTCAACCTAGGATTTTTTTTCAGTTAATCCTTAATATAATGTATTACTGGTAACCTTGATATACACCAGCGTGTAGTCTCTAAGACACATAATCATAACTTGATGTAATATTGCTGTCAGAAGTGGCTTTGTTTAACATTGAGAATTTGTCGAAAGTCAAGAATAGTGGCGACTTGGATATTTGATAATGCTATGCTAGAATATAACTTTCAGAACCTTGACACATTTACAGTAAAGAGACATGTCTATATTTGATAAATTATGTATCATGCATGGTTCTATAATAATTATGTGCTCTTGCATGGCATCTTTAATCTGGGAGTTCAAACTGAAAAATGGAGGGTTATCTACGTGTATTCTTGCTTTTGCACTCATTCTGTTTAAATTAATTCATCTTGTTTTGGCATTTGGCTTCTCAAGCCCTTCTGAAGCCATTTTACTTCCTCTCTGATTTGAAGAAACCATCGAGTGTTTCACCTCATGTTCATAATAAACCTGTTTCAATTACATGTATAGCGATTTAGCAGTGTGCAACCTGATGTGTGAAAACATTTCCAAGAAACAAGAGTCAGATTGTTTCCGGACTGTCAGATTGTTTCCAGACACCATTTTTCAGGTTTATTAAATAAATTGCCTGTCTTTTTTGGTTAATAAGCAATTTTGACATGTCAAGTTTGATTATTAAACTAAAAAGTCATCATTTTTTGCTTATTAAGCAAGAAAGGTTGCTTATTAAGCTAGAAAGGTGATACTTTATGCTTATTAAACATGTGACTTTCAATTAAGAAGCAAGAATGGTAGGTATTCTTGCTTATTAAACAAAAGTGTCACACAACACCTGTCACACTAAGTTTGTCTGCCATTATGGGAAAAAATATCAACAACGAAAACAAGGCAACAGACAAATCATTATATTTGAAACTTAGAAAAAACAAGTCGTGACTGGTCAACCCTTCACTGAAAGCCAAAGTTAAGTGAAGACTTTTCTTTTCTGGACAGATATTTTTGTGTTTGTTGATATGTTTGTCTTCACGGCGCGATCAATCAGTGGCTGGCGATACTGTGAACGAGTTGCGTTTTCCATGTTCAACTTTTGAAACGAAAGTAAACCCTGTTCAGTTGAATTACAACATCGGCAGAGCAAATAAACAAGTTTTTGAATACAGATAGGACGGGAGATTTCATTGAACCAGGCCTTCTGATAGGGTGCAATGAAAAAATGCAAATTATGCGAAATTTGCAGGGCAGATTATGCGATTGGAAAGGCCAATTATGCGATAAATAATGTAAATTATGCGATTTTTTTCTGAGCAATTTTAAGCTTGTTTTAGGAGGTTTCGGATAAGAAAAACACTTTTTTGCTGCCCTAAAGACATTTTGAACACAAAGGAACAGTAATTATGCATCTTGATCGACATTAGTTTGGATAAATAAAAAAAAATGAGGTCTTCTGCACTATCGGTGCACCACATTAAAAGTTGAAAGGACACAGCT